AAAAATAATAATAATAATAATAATAATAAGAAATAAAAGTTAAAGACTATAAAAAGGAATTTGAAAAAGAAAAAAAAGGAAGAAGAACATAAAGTTGATGAAAATAAATTTTAGAAAATATGAAGACAAAGACGTTAAATGTAATGAAAGAGAACAAAATATGAAAATAACAAACGAGAATATGAAGATGTAGAAGGATAAAAAAATCAAAAAAGTATAAAAGTACACAAAATAAAAAATTAACAAAAGTTAATAATATAATTAAAAAAAAATTATTGTTATATAGAAACACTAATAAAGATAACTAACAAAACATATTCATTGTTAACACAAGATATATATAAAATATTAATTGTTATATTAAAAAATTATCAAATAAATTGTTTATTAAAAAATAGCATATAAAACATATAAAATACAAACACAGATTAAAATTTGCGCGAAGTGCGGGCTCTCAATCCTAGTACTTAAAATAAACAAAGACAGAATGGATCGATCTAGATTTCCGAAGTGATATTAACTCCATATCTCAACTCATAACATTTAAGGAAAAAGAAAAATGATATGTTTTCTTTGACAAAAAAAAAAAAAAGAAAAAGAAAAATGATATGTTTAGGAATTAGCAAAGAATCCATCCCATGTTGTCGTTTACTTCACGTGTCATGTATGGACCCATCCCTCTTCCTCTTATTGGTTTTTTAATCGATTCCATAATTATCGATCTAGCAAACCATATAATGGTGTTGTGATGTGTTATAGAACATATATTGTGCGAGAATTAACTTTTTTTTTTTTTTTTTTTTTTTTTTGGTGCGAGAATTAACACCCATTAGCTGTGAGAAGATGATTCTTTCCTTTGAAAGTCACTGCACTAACGGAGAAGTTTGCAAGTGTCGTTTTAGAAAGAAAGAAAAAGCTATTCGTTAAAAAAAACTTTATTTTTTCTGAACTTCCCGTTAAAGCTTTATTTATTTAGACAAGACAAGTTAAAGCGTTAATTTTTAGTGGCTTGTTGATCATAATGGCTTTACATAATTTCATAAAACGGTTTGAGACGTGGCTGAAAACAAAAGCTTTTTTCGTCTTCGATATCTATTTTTAGATCATCAATCAACTTATACTAATTTATTCAAACTCATTAAAAACTTATAAGTCTGCCGTTACGCATAACTTTACTTTTGACAATATAGGTATTTAATACATAAAAGTTTATTTGTGGTTAAGGAAACATAATTAAATATATGGATTTCAGTTCTCTCACTCACTTTAACAGAAAAAAAAGAAGAAGGATTTCAATTCTCACCCAAATATCTCAATCCTTTGTAAACAAGCTGATTAACAACATAAGATTTTTTTTTATAGAATATTTATGGTTATTTAACAAAAAAAAACATATATGAATAATGAACACTGGACGAATAACTTTAGTATAATAGTTTGTATTGGTAATGTCCATGTGTCACCATAAAAGTTCAAATCCGATAAAATATGAGTTTTTATAAAATATTTATAGCTATTTAACAAAAAAAAACATATCTAATATATAAAATTTGACCAATTCTCTCTAGTTAAGTGACACATCAGCAATGAAGATACCGTTATCTGTCATCTTCAAATATTAATAAAAAAAATAATTAATCATATTTAAAGCAAACACATTAAAACAAATTAAATATATAAATAAAAATTAATATATATTTATATTAGAATAAAATTAAAATCTAATTTAAATCTATAAAAACTTATAAATATTATATGATACAAAAAATTTTAAATGCACAATTATATTTTCAAATGTTTTAAATTTCATTTACAAACTAAAAATATAATTAAATTTTAATGTAATTGAAAAAAAAATATGAGAGTGAATAAGTTAAAAAGTTTCAAATAATCTTATATAAAAATTTAACTATAAAATTATAAAACACAAATCATATTTAATAAACGATTAAAAAGATAAAAATTACAAAAAATAATAGTAAAAAGAAATGTATGTACATAAAAATGTTATATATGTTTTTTTAAATAATAAAAATAGATAGAATCAATAAAATATATATAACCAAAAAAATCAAATAGTAAATTAAAAAAAAATTAACAAATATTAGAGTAGTAAGATTTACAAGAATAAAAAGAATATGAAGATAAAAAAAAAATAGACTATTTGACACAACTGGTGTATAAGAGATTACAAATAATGTATCATCAAGAAGAAATTAAAGAAAATATAATATTTTAAACAAAAATACAATAATAGTAAACATAAAATTCAATACAAATTATTTAAAATATAAATTAAAACAAGATCTGCCCGTATGCGCGGATTCTCTGATAGTATGAATAATGAACACTAGACTCATATAATAGTTTGTATTGGTAATGTCCATGCATCACCATAAAAGATTAAATCCGATAAAATATGAGTTTTTGGAAGAAAAAAAACGAATGAAGGTTAATGTAATAAGTCTTTTTTCAACATTAATGTAATAAGTCTTTACGTGAGGATTATTTACGAATGAAATTGAATTAATGGTAATTATGTATGAGTTAATACAATTCTCGACTCTTAATAGTAAACGATGTGTGGAAGTTTCTCTTAGTAGTCGAAGGCCAAAGGGTGGGATTTGATTTCCAGAAGATACAAGTGTTGCAGATTAATAGATACAAGTTAGAGTGCTGCAAGTATAGTTGTTTATTGTGATCTTGTCCCTCATAAATTCATGTATTGTGAGAAAATCTATATTGTGGAGTCGTTGTTTATAAAACTCTTCATCATAGTTACAAGTATTATATGTATTGGAATTCTATCAATTAAGCATCATTTTATATATAAAAGATGGCCAACTACATATGAGTGTCACGTCATCAGTTTCAATCGATATGGAGATAAGATGGCTAACTATCTTCATATGAGTGCCACATCATCAGTTTTGATCGATATGGAGATGACACGTGTCATACTATTTTAAAGAAAATTAATTAATAAAATTTAATATTAAGTTTAAATCACTCAAAGAAAATAAAAAAAGTTTTCGTATTAATTGACTCTTAAATAATATTTATGTAAATATTAAACAAAAATTATGTTATAATTAACTAAAAATATTGATGGAGATTTATTTTATTTTTATATAACTCTAGATTAATTAATAATATTCAATATGTATTTAGATTAATTTTAAAGATTTTTTATAATAACATACTAACAAGTAATAAATAATGATTATATTAACATTTAAAAATATACAAATAATAATTGAACCATTCATAAATTTTAATACTAAAAATTTAATAAATAAATAGTGAAAGATGTAAAATGTTTTTTTTGTCACAAAATCATGTCCAATATTGAGCAACGTTTTTAAATCTTGGTAATTTAATTTTCCTTAAGAAAATGACTGAGAAATGAGAATCCTCAAGACTTTAATTTTTTCGTCGAAGGTGTCAATACTTATTTTCTTATGATGGACAAATCTATAAAAATCGTCGGTGTTCTTTCTGAAATATATATATACATACAATGTTGAGATGGAGCGGGAAGCGTAAATCGCACGGTCCAGACGCGCGTGAAAACAACGGACGATTCAGAAAAAGTAAACAAAAAGTGTGTGAGCGTTTTCATCGCAGAGAAGAGACTAGAGAGACGAGCATATGATTAGTCTGCGCTGTTTCTGCTAGTGTGCGCCAAAACATAGTAATCCCTACTTTTGACTTGGTTTATAAAGTCAAAGAAAAAGCCGCTTTTGTGGGATAACATATAGAGAGATAGCAAAAATGTGTATCTAAGTTCCACTATGAAGTTACGAATTAACAAATAAAATGAAATAAAAGGAAATAAAGGAGAGAGTGACTCGTGAGGCGAGTGCTTTATTTGGTTCGAATAATGTTCGTACCATTACCATTTTATTTTGGCACTCGAATTTGCAATTTTTCTTACGCCTAATGAATTGAGAGGTGTGAAGGAGTACTGCGTCTTTTTTCTTTACCTTTTCTATAACATTTTATGAAAAAAAAAATCATACAAATATATAATAAGTGATCAGATTCGTTTGTGAGAAGGATTCTAGAATCGATCGATCTTTAATATATGCTAATTTATAGAATCATTTTTATTCTTGGAGTCTTGTAATTACATGAACAAAAACATAGTCGCTTAAAACAATCTAATACTGTATTTGTTTTCTTTGTTTATACCTCAATATTAGCATAGGCAAATGTACCTCACACTCTTTCCGCTCTTCGGATATTAACTACCAAATTAAGTTTAAGTAAATATCTCCCTGTTTTAGACATTTGGTAAACATTTTTTTAAAATGACAAGACAAAATAATATCACCGGATCTTATTGGTTACTTTGTATTCCAAGTTAATGAAAACTTACTCTTTGAATTTTATTCAATACAAAAAAAAAAAGAAAACAAGAAGACGATGAGGATGGCAAGCTATATTCTCTAGACAGAATAAAATTTTGTTAGATATACTTAAGCTAATACAAATTTCAAATGGCAAGCTTTAATTCTCCTATATTTGATTTTGATGATATTTAATATGTTAACAAATCACTAATCCTATATATAGTCGATTTCAACTAGAATCAATGATATGATTGTATCAACTTTGTATTAATTTTTAATGTCATGATTCGATCTTCCTTTTTTTCAAAACCGCATGGTCATCTTTTGATCTCTGAAACACTTCTTATCACCATATTAAAAAAACTGGTATCAAATAAGTTAAAAGAAAAGGAAGAAAAAAGCTTTTCTTAAACCAAACAAAAGTTACAGGAAAAAAACACCAAAATATGGTTTGAAAAAAAAAAAAGAGTATACATATGTTTTGAACAAAAGAAAAAAAGAGTATACATATGTGTGAAGGGAAAACAAGAGAGTATAAATATGTAAAAAGAAGATACTCAAAACCCCATCAAACGTTACAAATATTTTATTTCATTTTGGTAAGATGTATAAATAATTGAAAACAATAGCAAGTCAAGTGCTCTCTTTCCCACCCATCGATTCCTCTCGGACACTGCCCAATCTCTCCATACTCTCTCTCTCTCTCTTTCGACAAAAGAAAAAGTCAGCGCCGTCCTTTACGCCATAGTTTGTCTCCTTCTCTCTTCTCTCCTCACCAACAGAACCAAAAGCAAAGAAATCGAGCTTACTTTCCTAAATCCCAACAACAAAAACCCATCAAGATCATCAAATTATGTCTGAAGATTGGGATCTCTTCGCCGTTGTAAGAAGCTGCAGCAACAGCTCTTCGGTCTCCTCGGCAACTACTAACACAAACGACCGAGGAAACTGTAAACAACTAGATCCTCCTCTTCCTCCTCCTCCTCCTCCTCCTCCTCTGTTCACACACATCGGTGAAGAAAGAGACATAGATTCTTGCAACGAGCTACAAGATTCTTGCAAACCCTTTTTACCGGTTACTACCACTACTACAACTTGGTCTTCTTCTCCACTTCCTCTTCCTCCTCCTTTAGTTTCATCAGCTCCTCCTAATATCTTAATGAAACAAGAACAAGGACAACTTGAATCAGTACAAGATCAGAAACCTCCTCTTGGTGTTAGGTCGTCTTTCCCACCTTCCACAACCATTTCTTCTTCTTCTGTCTTTGTTTTCCGAGGTCAACGCGACCAGCTTCTTCAACAACAATCACAAACTCCTCTTCGATCTAGAAAAAGGTTTGATTTATTCATCGGTTATAACTTAAATCCATGTCTTAATTATTGCAAAGTTTCTTTCTTTTCTGATTATATTTTTTGTTGCTTTAATTAAACCAGAAAGAATCAGCAAAAGAGAACCATTTGTCATGTAACTCAAGAGAATCTCTCTTCTGATATGTGGGCATGGCGTAAATACGGTCAAAAACCCATCAAAGGCTCTCCGTATCCAAGGTCTTTTTTTTTCCCTTTAGTCAAAAATTTTCTCGAGGAAAAAAATGGTTTCTTTTTTTATTTTCTTGGGATAATAATGTTTTAATTAAACAAAAAAAACAGGAATTACTATAGATGCAGTAGCTCAAAAGGATGTTTAGCAAGAAAACAAGTCGAAAGAAGCAACTTGGATCCGAATATCTTCATCGTCACTTACACCGGAGAACACACTCATCCTCGTCCTACTCACCGGAACTCTCTCGCAGGTAGCACACGTAACAAATCTCAACCCGTTAACCCGATACCTAAACCCGACCACTCATCGGGTCAAACCGTTTCTGGTTCGAATACCGTAAAAGAAGAGGTTCATCTTTCTCCGACGACACCGTTGAAGGAAAACGACGACGTTCAAGGAACTAACGGAGACGAAGAAGTCAACATGGAAGACGAGGAGTTAGATGAAGTCGAAGAAGAAGAAGAAGAAGAAGAAGAAGAAGAGGAGGAAGATGAAGATGAAGATTGTGACGTGGATGATGTTTTGATACCGAATTTCGCGGTGAGAGATCGAGATGATTTATTCTTCGCTGGAAGCTTTCCCTCTTGGTCCGCCGGAACCGCCGGAGACGGTGGTGGATGATGAAGAAGAATATTATCTCTATTTTAAAACAACAAAAAGTCAGGTTTTTAATTATTATTTTTTATCTTGTTAAAACTTGACATTTATTGTGTTATTAAAGAATATATATAAAGTAGAAAAAGAGGGAGAGATAGGAGACAAAAGAGTAGTCTACAATCATATTTCGTTTTGACTGATAGCTAAAACTTAGAAAATTACTCTAGTAATTATGTGTCGATTAAAATTGACATTGCATAATACCAAAGCTTTTTCTTGGTCCTAAATGTATAAATTACCATATTTTCGATCCTATATTATTTGTATATAATATTTCTGAATTTCAAAATTTAAAAGAAGCAATTTTTTATAAAATGCTTTATTAAAACTGTTACAAATGACACACAAAACAGAAGTAAATATGGGTTGAGGAAGAAAATAGAGGTAAATAGTGGAACAAATGGACCCAAATATTAAAAATAAATAATTAAACTAATTAATGTCAGGGCCTAGTTAAAAAGTTATTGGCAGCGACAACCATGCTAAAAAATTGTTATAATTTGCTTTCATTTAATGTCGAGATAATTAAATTATCGGATTAGTTTAATAATTGAAGAATAATCATGTGGGCAGTGGGCTACACAACAGAACTGTTAATTCGGTTCAGACCGGAAACAACGACTCCGGTTTTCGCTGGCTTTTAAACTCACGAGACAAGACCATAAATCTGACGTCTTTAGAGCATGTGCAGTAGTATGGGATTCATCAGATTAAATAAATAATTTTTTTTTTTCGTTTTTGTGATGAATTCTGATTAAGTTTGAGGTTTCAGTAGTGAATTCGCCGGAATTTTATATTAATTTTCTTTTTTTGAAAATTTTTTTTGCCCAAAACAAAAAAACGATTGAGATAATCATCAAAAATAGGATCATATTCTGCTCAAAACAGGATGGGATCAGTACAATACAAAGCGAAACGATATAGAAGATGATCATCGAGAATGGCAAACAACTACAACGATTGAGTCTACACCTAAACTACAACAATTTCAGTTCAACATCATCATCGATAACTACTTAACATCGACAATGGCAAAAGGCAAGATGATCAAATCATATAGCAGAAAACATACACCCGAATGATGAAAAACACATATATCAAATAATATCACATATTATAAACACCAAATCATATCACATATATGTAAGGGAATTACAACCAATTTAGTAAAAGTAAGAAAACGTAAAGAAAGGCAAAGTCAAGTAAACCAATCATGTAAACACCAAGAACAATTCAGTTCATCATCAATAATCAGAGCAAGTTACTATACTAAACCCGATCATGTAAACAACAACAACAATTCAGTTAATAATCGATAATGACAAAGCCAAGATTGTAATAGCATTTATATCAAACAGAAACGTTTAAAAAAACATTCATATGAACTCGATAAAAGAAAATATGTTTCGACAAGGCCATATGGACAAACACTAATCGTAAACACATTATCAGCTTGTTAATGTATTGTAACATACACACGACTAATGCATATGGAAGAACTAAACTCCAATTTGAACCCCAAAGAAAAGCCCCAATTTATTCCTCCACATTGAAAAAACCCTAATTTCATCGAACAAAAATTCGCCAAATAAACAGTATAACATGAATTCGTTTTCGAAAGCAAGTGAAAAACGGTTGAATTTCATTGTATTACACCTCAATTGCAACCCCAAATGAAAGCCCCAAAAATTTTCCCCAATTCATATGAACCCTAATTTCACCGATTTGAAATTTCTTTCAAATCTCCCTAAAATTTTACTTCTAATCGTCTTTGGGTTTCAATGAGGTGAGATGACAAGAAATCGACACTAATTACCCAATCTAAACCACCGATTAAAGACTGACAATTTTTGCTTATGAAAACCAAAACTCTAATTTCCCTAAATCGAATAAAAACCAGCAAAGGAAGAGAAGAAACGTTTACCTCGACAATAATCACGGAAGTCCGACCCTCGGTTGTGAACTTCCCGGCAAAAGCTGCACGGTTCCGACGGATTTCACGGTGGCGACGAGAATCGCCGTAAGAGAGGAAGAGAGTGAAGGAAAAAAAGTCGGGAAAGAGAAATGAAAGTTTGGGGAAAAAATTTTCCCGTCCCCGAAAATTACCCGAAAATCACTCTACTCACGCTTCGCCACGTGTCTGAGATGCGGGTTCATCAAACTCTTCCGGATGAACCGATCCATCGAATTTGAATTTTTTATTTAAGTCTATTTCATCTTAGAACTCGAGCCAAATCCGTCCAACAAACTACTACTGGACCTGGTCTTAGTCCCACTTGTACCTCTGGCCTTTATTAACTGGTCAACCATTTTTTATTATATAGTTTTTGACATACTGTATATGTTATTTTGTCGTAATTCGAAGCGTCGGTCAAACATATTTTATTCGGGTTCTTCTGTTTCCGCATTAAGAAAAATATTGCATACTTATACGTCTCTGGAATTAATTAAAGTAGGGTCGTTACTCGTTATTAACTTATTGATATCGTTAAAATAAGCTATGACGAAATGGTTTTGACGATTTAGCTTTTATGATTTATTTTAATTATATATTATGGTCGGTACAGATTCTCATGACGAAAGATGGGCATGCAAGTTGTTACCCCTTTCTTCTTATCTCGATTTGTTATATTTTTTTGTGATAATTTCTTTACTAGTTTTTTAAAAAGTGTTTTCTTATTACTTTAGTGAACAAGCATTTAATGTACGAAAAAATGCGAACAAATTGAGGAAAAAAAACTTCCTTTTTTATAATTATCCAACGTAAGAGTTGGCCATATTATATATGGTCCCGGCTCATGAATAGAAAACATCTGTATATCTAAAGTAATATTAAAGATTTAAAGTACAGTTGAATACGAAACTAAAATATTTTAATTAATAAGATGCTTAAGACGAAGAATTAATAAAATGCTTAAAATCAAGGCCCATAATCTCATTAACAAAGAAAACTCCGAGCTCGTGATAAGCCTGTAAAAGCTAATAAGGCCCACTAATAATATAAATAGGCCCATTAAAGAATCTGGCTTTCATTTTCTTCTCCATCTGAAAATGTGAGAGTTGACACTGTAAACAACAACAAAAAGCTTCTGAGAATTCGCCGGAGTTAAGAGAGAGAGAGAGAGAGCGATCCAGCGGTTGAGATGTTCTTACGGGCAATCGGACGGCCATTGTTGGCTAAAGTGAAGCAGACGACGGGGATCGTCGGGCTTGACGTGGTCCCGAACGCGAGGGCGGTGCTGATCGATCTCTACAGCAAAACCCTAAAGGAGATCCAAGCTGTGCCGGAGGATGAAGGATACCGAAAAGCGGTGGAATCATTCACGAGACACCGTCTCAATGTGTGCAAGGAAGAAGAAGACTGGGAGTCGATCGAGAAGCGGCTTGGTTGTGGTCAAGTCGAAGAGCTCATCGAAGAGGCACAAGATGAGCTCACACTCATTGGAAAAATGATCGGTCCGTATGCTCTTTCCCTTTCTTACATCGCCTCGATTTTCATGCGATTGATATGCTATTTTGGTTCGGTTTTGCGAATGCTTGAGACTTGGGATTAGAATTTTACTTTGCATATCTGGTTAGCGAACAAAGTGTGAACTATTTAGACTATAATATTGATTTGTTTCCAAGAAATGGGTTTGAAAAATGAAGTTTTTTTGGATCGTTAGGTAGACAAACTGTACACCGAGCACTGTAAAGATGACCTCTTTATTGGCTAACAAGTTAGTGGGAAGAAACTATGAGTTAATGTTCATTGAAATCCCAAACTAAAACTGAAAATCAAGTAAGGTAATGCACAACTTATTGTATTAGTATTTGCTAACTAAGGCGTATGTGTGAAAGTTTACAGTAGTTCACATAAGATTGGAAGTTTGGAACTGTTTTTGCTTCAACGTCACATAGGTGTTAATTTGTGCTAAATTCGTGTTCTTGCTTTGCATTTATCTGTACGTTAGTGTTTAATGCTTATGAAACTCGCTTTCAAATTTCATGATACTTATTGTATTAGTATTTGCTAGCTTAGGCAAATGTGTGAAAGTTTGCATTAGTTCACATAAGATTGGAACGGTTTTTGCTTCAATGTCACATAGGTGTTGGTTTGTTCTAAATTAGTGTTCTTGCTTTCCAGTTATTGGTACGTTAGTGTTAATGCTTACGAAAACTATCTTTCAATTTTTCATGATACTTTGTTCGAGGTTCCAGAGATCTTCTTTCTTTCTTCTTCCTGTGATAATGTAACAGTCTGAGTGAGCCTTATCACATTCTTTTGGTTGTAGTATTATATCGATCAGACTTTCAATGGTCCAAAACTTTTGGTTTTATGTATTAAGAGTTTCTTCACCTCATAATCGCAATTCTTTTTATTTGCATATGTAGAATGGGACCCTTGGGGTGTTCCAGATGACTACGAGTGTGAAGTGATTGAGAATGATGCGCCGATTCCCAAGCACGTTCCTCAACACCGACCTGGTCCTCTTCCTGAGGAGTTCTACAAAACCCTTGAAGGTCTACTTTCAGAGGCCAAAACAGAAATCCCAGCTGCTAGCTCCAGCGATCCGCAGTTGAAGGAGTAACTTCAAGCTTCATAATTTGTGTACTTGTTGGTTTTTCTTTTTTTTTGGCTAGAGTTGTTCCAGAGACAGTCAAGCCTCTGAATAAAATCTCTTAATAATTTTGAAAACTATATAGCAATGGCATACGCTTTTCACAAATGTTTTATCGTCCTTGTTCAAAAAAACTATGATAATACAAACGATGTTTCTTCTTCCCCTTTGCAAGAACATTCACCATTCTTAAAGATATGTACTCGATTCCCATCTTTTACAGTTATATTCTTATCAACTAACCGGGTCATGAGGGACACGAACTCATGACAGTCCTTACACAGGGTTTTGTTCTTGACAATATGGACCGGAGTTTGTGGTGAAGTGTACACAAGACCAAACACAGCAGCTTGTTTTGCACTGTGATAGCTTGCGTTTTTATTACCTCGGTATGTAAAGCCTGACCTTTCGATCTCACCCTTTATCCATTCTATCTCTGCGTAAATCCCATTCGTTTTCTCGGCTGTAGTAACATCCTCACTGGCAAAGCTGTGAACTTTTCCTTGAACCTCCACAGTGCTCTTGCTTAGCTTCTTACTCAAACCCTTCTCGCTCATCAAATTTCGAGTCTTTTGGGCCAACTCTGGTTTTCCAGTTTCGTCGTATAAGTCTGCCAAAAGAATATACAAGGCTGGATCAGATGGTGCAAGTGCTAAGCCTTTGTTAGCCATATCTTCTCCTAAAGACAGATCCCCATGGTATCTACAAGCTCTCAATAATGTTTTGAAGATCAGAGCATTTGGTCCCAACGGCATTGTCTCTACAATTCCTCTCGCTTCCTCTAGTCGTCCAGCACGACCTAGGATACCAACTAGATGAACGTAGTGCTCTATCTGTGGCTCAATGTCATGGATTTTCTTCATCGAGTGGAAATACTCTAGACCCATCTCAGTCAATCTTCCGTAACTACACGCAGAGAGCAATATCAGGAACGTTACTGAATCGGGCTCGGTTCCTTTCATCTTCATCTCCTCAAATGCAGATAGAGCAGATGAAATACAACCGTTTGATGCTAAACCAGATACCAACCCGTTCCACGTAACTACATCAGGGTTAGCTGTCTCTTCAAACACCTTTTTGGCATCTTCCAAGATACCACATTTACCGTACATGTCAATCAAACTGTTGGAAACCGAAACCGAAACCGAGCTAGAATACCCTGATTTTACAGAGTAACAATGAAGATGTTTCCCAGTTTCAAGAGCTCCCAAGTTGGCTGAAGCCGAGATTAACCCAGGTAAGCTGAACTGATCCATTCCGATTCCATCACTACACATATGATTAATGATACTTAGTGCCGTTTCATACTTGGCCAACTCGTTAAACCTCGTTACCAAGCTCGTGTACGTAATGTTATCTCTCCTTTCCATTGACCTAGCCACGTTCCAGGCGTAAGCTATCTTATCCGAGCTTGCATATGCATCGACGAGTGAGTTCCCTACTATTGTTTCACTTTCTACATTTCTCCGGAGTAGATATCCATGGATCTCTAATACCCGCTTTAGAGATTTCAATTTGGTGCAAGCTCGGAGAACACCAGATAGAGTAACAACGTTGGGCTCTAACCCTTGGTTTACCATCTCCATCAACAGTCCAAAACAGTCTTGCTCGAACCCGTGATCAACAAGACCAATGATTAACGTTGTCCAAGAGATGACATCTGGTGAGATCATTTCTCCGAACACTCTCAAAGCTTCTACTTCGGACGCCGAGCACTTCATATACATATCTACAAGCGCATTTCCGACATCAGTTCTGTCCGCCAAGCCGACCTTGATGGCCTGTGAGTGAATCTGCTTGCCTAAATCCAACGACCAGACAGAAGAACACAACCTCAAGATTGCAGCGTATGTGAAGTTATTTGGTTGCAAACCCAAACCTCGCATCTTAAGAAACGTAACAACAGCTTCCTTGGCTCTTAAGTTTCTTACAAATCCTGATACTAGAGACGTCCAAAGAAACACATCCTGTTCTCCGGTCGAATTCAATACCCTTGCAGAGTCTTCCATTTTAGAGAACCTCGAGTAGAAATCAACCAGAGATGTCTTCAATACCACATTCAGCGGAATCCCTCGAGTAATCACGTTGCTATGAATCATTTTACCAAACTCCAAACCAAGAAATGAAGAGGCCCCTAAAAGCTTAACGAAAGTGAACTCGTTAGGAGGAACACCAGCTTTAACCATCTCAGAGTAAAACTGCAACGCCTCTCTCCATTTACGAGCTTCCACTAAAGAAGTTATCATCATCGTCCACGAGATGGTATCAGCAGCGTTCTGAAGAGAGTTAAACACTTGACGAGCCTCCTTGAGTCTCCCGCACTTTGAATAGAAATCAGTCAAGCTGCTTCCTAAAACCGGGTTTCCCTCGAATCCAGTCTTGATAACAGAGCCATGAACTCGAGCTCCATAGTTGAGATCTCTCAAACCAGCACAAGATCTTATCACTGAGGAAAACGTGAATTCGTTCGGGTCTGTTCCCGAAGCCATCATTTCATCGAACAACGAAAGCGACCACGCAAACTCTTGCCTCTTGGTATGAGCAGAGATCATAACAGTCCAGGCAAAAACAGTTCTGTGCGGCATTTCGACGAACAGTTTACGTGCATTCCATATACCATCGGTTTTCAAGTAAAGACTCAAGAGATTGTTGCATAAGTCCAGATTCTCTAAAAGATTCAACTTTAGTACAAGGCAGTGTATGTGTAAACCTGTGCGTAACGAATTCGATTCGCAGAAGGAGAGAATCTGACTACATGATTGTTGGAAATTTCCCAGTTCGTTAGTGCGAGAGAGAAATGCAGCAGCTGCTGCTACTTTGCTCGTCATTCTTTTGCATCAAAAACGTTGTGACATGAAAAAAGTCCGAAGCTTTGATATGTTCACTTCACGTCGCTGTTGAGGTTTCCCTTAGACACGACACGATGATTCTCTCAGCGACAATTTATTATTAAAATTCGCAATTATGAACATGTTGTGTTTTTTTTTTTTTTACACTGTAACGTTATCAGCCAAAAAAAAATTTAATTATCATACAATTTAAAATTTTATGTACGGCTGAAATATTTATATAAAATTTTACTATTTAAACTGAAGATTTTATTGTATGAATTAAAATATCTTTTATTATATTTATGAGTTATGAAAACTAAAACATCAAAAGAAAGAGAAACGAATGAGTTTTAGTATTTTTTTTTTCGGCTAAAAACATTTATATTACTTTTAAAGAGTAATTACAAAGACATTTTACAAAATTACTATGACACAAATTATTACATACGCAAATGTATGTGTCATATACTAAGAAATATATACTAAAATTCATAATAATTTCTCAATTATAACCAAAAATATCTGTTTTTCTCTTATCTATAAGCGATTTTTAAAGCGGATTGTCTTCAACTTCCGTTCTCTCTGTGTTTTCTCCGGCCAACGCCGGAGCCGTCGGTTATACTCTTTCTTTGTTTTCAATTTGTAAGTTTTTTGTTATAAGTATGGTTTTCTTTTATCTCTCGAGAGACTTCTCTTTGTGCAATTTTGACAATTGTCTTCTCTTCTTTTGGAAGAGCGTCTTTCTGGCATTTGGATCTCGAATCAATTATGTCAATGTTTGTTCGTTGAGTGAAATCTCTGGCGGTGTTTCAAAAGTATCCCATTTGGATAACATTCAGATATATATATTTCTAAAATATTATACGGTGATGTATAAAAATTAAGTTCAATATCAAACTCAATTTTTTTTTGTCAGTCAGAGAATCTATATTTAAGGCCACCAGGAGAAAAAAAAAACAACTAAGAAATTGTTGTCTATAAATATTGAAAGTACCACAATTTTTGCTTTGGACCACCATTTTAAATATATGGATCATAACTAAGCTTCTGATATTTTGCTCCATGTAACTTCAAATTGTTATCCACATCTAAACAGATTAATCTCAGACCTAATATAGGATCTGGCATTTTCTAACCTTCAACAAAACATCTTATGTTTTTGTAAGGTTTTCACATATCCTTTGTCCACTCAAGTTAAACATTTGGAAGGATTTGGGCTTGTTTCCAAGCTTTGCTCTTATTCATGACATGACTGATTATATCTGTTGGGAATACATTTTGATTTCCTAGCTATCATTGCATGATTGTTTCAAAAAAAAAAAGAAAAAGAAAATAGACAAAGTTTATCCGATCTTAAAGAATTTTCATTTAGTGTTTTTCTTTGATAACCAAGGATGATTCGGACTTTAACCATCCAACTAATTTCAGAGGATGAGTTTAGTTGTCGATTAGTTCATTCACCGGATTTTCTTATCTAGTGTTGATGAATTTGATGATAATGCTCAAACTTGAAGAAAATGAAGGCATCAAAACTTCGTATGATTAATTGTTTCTCGTTTATCCTCATTGCGGACAGCTTGTGTCTGCGTCACAATGTGTATCTAATAAGAATTGGAGATCCAACCTTTGGCATGATTTTAGTACTCTAACAACTCTAACAAATGTTTTTCCTCCCACAAATGTCCAAAATATTACACAATTTATTTCACTTACTAATGGCCATGGCTATATATATTTTTGGGAGAGTTTTACATTTAACCTGAATTTTAAAGTCAAACCCAAAACTAACTTCTTTTTTTTTCTCTCTTCAACTTTTGCCATTTTGTCAGAATTCTATCCTTCTCACTCAAGATATTAACGAAAATGTCATTATAAACCCATTATTTCGATTTTTTTAAATATTGGCTAAAGTCTCCTTGAACCTCCTAAAACTTTTTTTATTACAATAATGTCATCTTCTTCAATACCTTCAACCACCATGAACAACCCCAAAAATAGAATAAATGCTTCTCAACCAATTTTAAAGTTGTAATAAGTTAATATGAGAGCTCATACACTCATAACCTTCTATATTCTTTCCTAATTTCTTCTCTAAAATTTCTTGGCTGAGTTACAATGTCAAAAATTATGCATTTTTGGGGATTTCAACTTAATCAAGACCTGGGTTGTTTTTTTTTTTTGTCAAATTCAGAGTTGTGGGTGCATGAGAGACCTAAAAACAAACTCAAACCGATATAGGTAATGATACACTTCAATTTTGGTAATATCTATATCTGTATTGTGAAAGTAGACTTCTACTAGTCAACATAAGGTTATTTTTGCAATTGACTTCTTAAAAGTAGACTTCATTAAACTGCACGAGAAGTCTACTCGATATCCTTTGAAAACAAAAAAAAAGCCTAGTAGATTTCGTTTAAAGGCATAAGAAGTCTACAAAAGAAAAGAGGTTATTTCTGTAGTTGACCATATTTTGACTTTTTAATATAGACTTCCTTATGAAGTCTACTGTTTATGTCTGCATAAGAAGTCTACGTTTAAGTTACTTTTGTAGTTTGACCAAAAACGTATAGATCATTTTAGTGTTTGACTACAGTTTTTTAAAAAATAAAAAAAAATAAAAAAAATTCCGAAAAACTTCAGTAGACTTCCCAAAGAAGTCTAAAACCTGTAGACTTCGTTAGGAAGTCTACTTATATTTTTGGTCAAACTTAGAAGGAATCTATTTTTGAGTAGTCTACTCAAAAAATTCAATTGCAAAAATAACCTATTTTTTCCCGTAGACTTCTATTGAAAAAGTATACTTCAAAAGTAGACTGTCAGAGAAGTCTACTCTTACATGAAGTCTACAATAGAAGTCTACTTTGTTAGTCAATGCATCAGTCAAATGCTAAAGTAACATTTTTGGCCGGAAGTCTACTTCTGAAGTCTACTGAAGGAAAAGTCAATGGATTGGTCAATTGCAAAAATAACCTATTTTTTTTAGTAAACTTCTTTAGTAGACTTCAATATGAAAAAGTAGACTTCTCCTCCAGTCTACGTTTGAAGTCTGTTGTAGAAGTCTACTTATTGCAGTTTTTTAAAAAACGCGTTTTAGGCAAATTTATAAAGTATTTTTTTTTTATTTTTTGGATTATAAATGCTTTTTAGTAAGTGATTGAACTACCCAGTAAATTTCATTTCATTTCATTCGATATTTATTATTGAATCAGAAATTTTGATTTTTAAGCTATTTAGCTTATTAAAGTAGACTTCAGTAAGTCTACTAAGGAAATCTAATGAGAAAGTCTACTTTTTGTATTTATTTTAAAACGCATATCTTAAATATTGATAACGTTTTTTTATAATTTTTAGGTTTTGACATGCGTGTTAGCAATTGATTGAATTACTCAATGACTTTCATTTGATTTAAATCGATATTTATTGTGGAATCGAATTTTTTTATTTATAAGCTAATTAGCTTGTAAAAGTAGACTTCTCCAGCAGTTTACGGATGAAGTCTGCACGAGAAGTTTTCGCATTTGTTACTTATGTAGTTGTCATAATATGGTTTGTAATTACATTTGCTAATATGATTTTTTGTGTTTTCTAATAGAGAATATTTCAATTGAGAATAGGATGGAAGAAAACTTGTATTTTGTGCAGTGTTTTTATATTCTTCTTCAGTCTTGTTTTTCACCTATTCTCAAGCTCACTCTTGTGTTTATCTTTCTGTCTCTGACCTGAGTTATGTTTTGAATTGTGTCCGACCTTTTCACTTGTGTTTGAATTGTTACTAATTTTTTTTGTCTCAGTTTGAATTGTGACTGATAATAATTTTGTTTTGATTCAAAGATTCTGCTTAATGACTATAACAAGAAAAATAAAACATTCTGTATAAAATAGTATCACCATTACATTTAAACTATATACAAATCAAGTTCATGACCATTACAATTGATAACCACAAAACTAAGATGACCATTACACTTTTGACCATTATAAATGATTCAAAACTATATTTTTTTCGTACACTGGTCATAACTAACATCAGGCCCAGGCTTGAAGCTTCCTTCGGTACAAAGGTTTCCTCTTTTTTTTTGCTCTGGTTCGGTTTGGCTTGGTTCTTGTTTAGTTTCTTGCTCTGGTTCGGTTTCAGATGGGTTTGGCTTCAGCTTCATCCTGCATCGATCAACATGTTCACTTCATCAATAAACATAATTATGTCATCAATAAAACCCACCGACAGTGATTTATTTGAGAATTAATCATGATTGCCACTATACTAACCCCTACTTATCTAAACAACATTTTTTCTTCCGTTTTTTAGCAATTATGTAAAGTAACACCACACTAATCCAATAATTTAAAGTAGGTAGCATTATTCCAAAACCCATCGACAAGAGAATCATTTTAGCACATCACATCACAGGAAACAAAACCAAACATCTGAAGCAAGATCACACAAAACTAAACCAAGCATCTGATAACTGCAACCAAAGATATCCAGTCTTTTTCTAGAAAAACTTCTTTCCATCTGCAAAAAGAAAACCCACACAACAAAAGAAAATAGTGAATAAACCCAGAATCGTCAAATCCCAGCAAAAGAAAAACCAAAACACATAGAGCAAAAAATATGCATCAGAGAATAGAGAAAAAAGAAGAAGACTTTTTAGAAGAGAGAATCGGTAACTACAAAGATACCAAAAATTAAGCTTCAGATTCTAAACATGCAAGCAACGAGTAAAAAGAAGAAGCCTTTTTAGACCAGAGCAGAATGCAAAAAGAGAAAAACAGAAGGAGAAAGAATCATTGTCGCCGGGTTTCTCACCTGAAACAGCAGAGGAGAAGACTCTTGTGGGGCTCTAACACAAGCAGATCTGGTCCATGGAAACCGACATAGATCCCAGCAAAAAAGCCATCCTTGCTTCTCAAAAACAGCTAATTGCGGATCTTCTACGGTTTCTTATTCTTTTACGGCAGCATGGAGTGGTGGAGAATTCTAACTTGTCGGAGTGTGACCAGATCTACAAAGAAAAACACGACTAGATTTGTTACTAGTTCTAGTTCGAACCAATTGGGTGAATCTTGGAAGTCGTTTCTCGATATCCGGACAAATAATATGGTTTGGTAACTAACTAACAATAGGATTCACTAAGCGTTCACGGGAGACTAGAGAAAAAACAAGTCCGTGAACACAATATACATATATAGATACATCACATATATTTTATACGCATGTGTGTATGTATACATCAATTCCTGCATGTACATTGTACTCATGACTGCTCTTCCACTTAGGACTACATTGTCAAGGAAACAAACAAGAAAAAAGCAGCATATAATTTGGATGGCAACGTGACCAAAATGAAAAATTCCTTTATTTCAAACAATAGATTTTCCCTCAACAAAAATTACGTGGAAAATTCAACTACCACAAAATCACGAATTCGGGCGTTATTTTTTTAAAACATCAGATTTGGGTGTTCTTATACGTAATGTTGTAAATGTAAAAATTGCAGCCAAACAAAAAAAGAAATAAAACAATTGACATGTATACAAGTTCTACGAATGCGTTTAGAATTTTGGAGTTATAGAATGTTGGAGTGATACAACTTGGTTTTATATACCAAAAGAAATGGAATTGTGAATTTAAAAAAAAAAAATTGAGAAAGAGATGGATCAGACCCGTGAAGACCAAGGTTTGTCTCCAAGCTACAAGTTAACCAAGGAGACTCTTCCACGCCGCGATTTATGATATTGCGCCCACCTAAATCCTAGCCTAAGCTCTATATGTTCCACATAATCATTCGATTTAGTTTCTTTACAAAAACACACTATTTCTTTTGTTAATTTTGTATGGAGTATCCGGCTCATTATTATATGGAGTATCCCAAGCTAAAACATACAGGTTTAAAATAGCAAATGACAATCAATCTCATACCGTGAGAATAGACCGCTTTATAAGAACTAGCAATAGTGTAGGTCAAATTCGTTTTATTGTGACATATGAGATCCAAAATATGATTGACATACATAACTATGCATCAAATTCGATCCCAAGAAAGAACTATTTTGGAAATAATATGCAATCGAGAGGTGTACAAAAAGTTGAATATGACCTCTCATTTCACGTATGTGACATGTCTCCACATAGCAAACACCTAGTTACATTGAAAAGAAAGAGACTAATATATTGAATTATTGATCCTAAATTCGAAATTCAACGAAAGTGACTATAACGATTCCTAGAGATTATGGATCGTTAAGGAGAATTGTTTATTAATTTTCCTTAGGTTGATCAGTATGAAGAAATGAATTTACAAAATAAGTAATTAAGCAAAAGAAAATTGGTTACCGCTTGGAACCTGAAACCCTTCTAAGGAGAACAAGAAAACACAACACACGGTAAAGTACGAAGAACCCTAACAAAACGTAAACATTGAACCACCTCTGTTTCTCATGAAGCCCTTTCTTCTCCAACACGTCACCTCCAGTAACCACGCAGATCTTCCCTTGACCTTCCTCAAACCAGACTAAACACTTGGAAGCCAAACAAGAATACTCGTTTATAAGAAGCGAATCTAACGCATACTTATACATCGACAAGAAGTACATGAAGAGCCAGTACTTGGGTAGACTCTCTTTCGAAATGAAGTAACCGGAGAACAAGAAGAAAGCCGCCAGAAGCACAGTCACAAGAGAGGTTCCCGCAATGTAATTTGGGGCAAGAGAGCTCAAGAACAGAACGAAAGAGTTCGCCATCAAGACAATGATCCATATCACGAGAACGAAGTACCCAAAAGCTTGCCACGTGGGGCAGAGACCAACGAGAAAATAGACCGAAACAGAGTATATTACTGAGATCACCAACAAGTAAGGCAAGAAGACGAGTGTGTTGGCGAGAAGGTGGGAAGAGAGTCTGTAAACGCCACTCGAAGTCTCTCTGAGAAGAATCGGACGCTCGTTGATGAAGATGGGGAGGGTTTCGGTTGTTGAAGAGAGGAGAAATGTCAGCGTGAAGGCGAAAAGGCCGAATCTTTTCTCGATTCCTTCTTTGCCAATTCCTATGTTGATGTAGATAGTTCCTAGGACAAGACCAACAACAAGTGCTTCTATTGCATTAGTCAGAAGCAGCTGTCTTGTCCGGTAAATGATCTTCCAGAATCTTCTCGAAAGAAGGCATATCTCTGTGATTCTTGACTTTCTATATCGAACAATACTCTGTTTTCCTCTTTGCTTTTGGTTTTGGATCGAAGGCAGAGCGATAACATCGGCCTGACTGTCAGATTCTTGGAGTTGTTGAAGTATTTCCATGGCGTATTCAAGAGAATTGAGCTGCGGAGGGACGGTGAATCCCTTGGAGAGCAAGAAACCTTCGAGAGAGTCAAGACTTCCGTGGTACGCAACGGTTCCTTTCGAAAGAAGTAACAGGCGATCGATGATAGAGAGAATCTTGAAGCTAGGTTGGTGAATGGACAAGATCACGGTCCTTTGTCTTGACACAGCGATGGATTTGAGGATGTGAACAACATCAAAAGCGGATTTACTGTCTAGACCGGAAGTGGGTTCATCGAGGAGGAGAAAGCAAGGGTCATGAAGTAGGCTTAAACCTATAGACACTCTTCTTCTTTCACCACCGGACAAGCCCTGAGCGAGTCTTGTGTTGGAGAGGTGTGTTAGGTTGAGTTCTGAGAGAAGAGAGGTTACGGTCTGAGAGACTGTTGATGGGTCTGGGAGCAAGAGACGAGCGGCGAAGGAGAAAGTCTCGGAGACGGTGAGGAGAGGGAAGAAAGAGTCGTGTTGAGGAACGTAAGAAGATATTTTGCGATAAGAAGAAGGGTTAATGGTAATGGAGTTTACGAGGATTGACCCCGAGGTTGGGGAGGTTTTAGAGGCGAGAATATCGAGGAGAGATGATTTACCGGCGCCGGAAGGGCCAACGACGGCGAGGATCTCGGTGGGATGAGCGGTGAGAGTGATGTTGCGGAGGATATAGGAGGGTGGCTCAGCCGCTGCGAAGCGGAGGAGAGAGAGAGGGCTTTTGGGTTTGGCGTAGGAGATTGAAGTGGTGGTTAGTGTGTAAGCCTCCGTCTCAGGCGGATGCGGCGGAGGAGGAGTTTCCATTAATGGTTCTAACTTGGTAAGAGTAGAGAGACGTTTCAAGAGTGCAGTGAAGGAGATTTTAATAATATGTATTTATTTGGTTTTGTGATGATGTCTATTTTGGAGTTACTTGTAAGCCAAAAGCTTCACCTTTTGAGTTTTTCTTTTTTCAACTTAATTTGTTTGCGTTTTTTTCTTATTGTTTTGGAAGAACAGTTTTGGATTTTTGCAGTCTTTTGTGTTTATCCTTCTTAGATGTAAATGAATATTGAGTTTCACGGGACATTATGATAAAAGTTAAAACATTCCGCAAAAGTCATGCTTTTTCTTTATCGTTGTAAAGTTTTCTGAAAATGAATATAGACCCTTTAATCAAATATTGATTTTAGTGCCGAAGAAAAGAATCAACAGCTTCCGCCAAAATGTAACGCTCAAAACTTGAGACCTCAAGTTTATTTTAAGTTTTTTGGTTAAATACTTAAATTGAATAACTTAAGACCTTAAGTTGGCTGCATTAATGCAACCATAACGTACCGAAGAAAATAAATGAATACATTTACTTTCACAGAAAGAGAAAATGAGCGATATATCCAAAGAATTGACACACATTAATAAGAATGAATAGATCCAAAGAACTTGACAAAGAAAAAAGAGTAATGAAGCCAAAAACGAGTTAAAAATTGCAGCGATATGTGGACAAAAGAACTTGAATAACATATACATTTTTATACCTGCTCATATCATATGTAGCAGACATAAATACCATTGATAAATATGAGTAATATATGGGGATATATGCATGTGTATACAGTGAATAATGATGCGAAACATAGAAGAAAAATACAAAGGTGAACGATTGTAACGAGGTCACGGACCTACTGTTTTCTATCACACTTATTATTATTTCCCAATCCGTGAACTCTGCCTTAATAATTTGGCACGCACAACGGAATAATATATTAGTAAAACATTTTGTTCATATTCCGATATTTGTATTTTGATATCTTGTAAAAAAAAAAAAAAATCACTGGTGATAAAATATTAAGTAAAAATGTTTTAAATCAGAAGTTAAGTACAAAAGATATAGTAAAACTTGAAAATTCGATTGAGTAATTGAAGGTTTGATTGATGATATCAAACGGTAAATGGTTTTTTAGACGCGAGAGAGTGGTAAACGAAAAAAAAATTAAATAAGAGATACGAGTTATAAAAGATAACGATACGAAAATACTACCGCCACATTGTTTTTTTTTTTTTTGGTGATTGCTAACAAATTGAAAGATATACTCGTTATCATTGCGGTGAGTAATCAATGAAAATCTATTTAGTTTTATTTCACGATATAAACCACTCGACGTCACAGCTTATTATGCTTGTTCTGTTTGTTCTATATGAATTTTAATTATTTTATCGACCTCGGTTACTTAACTGATGATGTAATAGTTTGATCAGAAGAAGAAAAAAATAATAGGGCTTCAAAAAAATTAGTTCAATTACCGACGACGAAAATGAGATTAATCTGATATGCTCTGAACTCAGAATTATGAAACTATGTTCCAAAAGTTTCTTTGAAAAAATATATCTTAACCATTTGTAAGCTCTAAAATTATGTGTAAAATATGCCGAGACCATTGTGTACTACCAATTATTAATCTTATTAGGTTCTACTCCGTGCTTCGTGCAGATTATGATGTTAAAGTATATTTTATGATGTTTTACTATATGATCTTGACCAATTTTTTTTATTATATAATATGGTATAATAATATCACATACACTCTCTGTTTCGTATTGAAAGCATAGGTACAAATGTATAATGTTGTTTGTTTGAAGACTTGAAATTTGAAAATAATAATAGTACTAAAAATTATGTTTTAAGTAATATTTGGTTTCTTAATGATATATTCTGTCCTATCTATATTCCTTATATTTCTACATACATTGATGGAAACAACATTTCTTAAAAATACATATATTATTATATTCTTAAAACAGGTTTAATATGCTTATAATAACCAGCAACTACTAACACACAAAAAAACCAAGCGTATGCCATCATTTAACATGAGCGTCCCTCGTCACAAATGACACCACTCACGCCCAAAAACTGGAGCTTCCACATGTTTGTATTAAAATCTGAACACAATCATGTAGGCTACAGTTTCCAATGATCTTTCACTTTCTATCTTCACTAGTAACCATGCAATCTGTCCTTCTTTTGACTCTGTTGTATTTCATATCGTATTAATCTTTTAGAACTACTCCCTCGACTCGCTTATTCCTTGTCTATCATAGTCGTTTCGTCACCACGCCTACCATCTGAACATCTTCATGTCTCTTTTACCTCTATGTTTCTCAGAAGCCACACAGTCATAAACTGAGATCAAACACTAAATAGTATCCGTTTGTAGCATTTGATTATACATTAAAACATCAAAATATTCAAATAGATTGATCGTAAAGTTTTAAAATTTGCAAATTTACTGGTCTTAATTAACACATCATATCTAAGGGTTAAAAACTAAAACCAGAATTCACAAAAGTTTACAGACAAAGAAATGAGATGGAAAAATCGAAGGATGAAAGAATCCGTTTCTTGTTGTTATGGACTTGATCTTGCATGATATAAACTTCCTCGTTATATTGAACTTTTATTCTGCATGCTGAAATTGAGAATATCATTCTGTAGACAATAAATTCGTGGCAAGTATCTAAGATAGTAAGATGTCGAAGTATTTACCTTCTAAATTGTAGGGCACCGTTACACACTTATATCGCACTCGAAACCATTAGCCTCAGTTTGATGTCCATCCACACGATTATGCTATTGACAGATATATCTTTGCTTCATCATTTAGCTCAAAACGCATATTTGTTAGTCAATGGAATCTTCGTAACCAGCATCATAACCTTTTTTGTCAATGAATAACCCTTACGCATGTAAATATGTAATCCACCTTTGAACTTAGAATAGTCACACTTTGTAGCATTCTTATATTATGAGAGAAGATAGTAATAATCATAAATTAATTTTAGCGCTCGTCTTTCTCTCTCCAAAACCTCTCCTCCCAAACTCAGCGCCGCCAAACCCTAATTCTCTTCGATCTGTCTCCTCGGTGCCCGGCGCTCCTCGCTGCCGCCGGGGAGGCCTTTGTCCTCCTTTGTGTTTCGTGTGCCTTATGGATTGCGACGGTTTGGCTCCGGTGACCTTTAACAGAGGCGGATTCGAGGAAGAAGTGTGGCATCTCGGCTTTCCCTCGGTGAGGTCTCTGGTGGAAGCTTCGGTGGCGCATGGTGTGGGATCTTCTGGATCTCGGTGTGGCCGCTGCGCGTCTTTCATGGTGGAGTGGATTGACTAGATCTTGGCTGCACGTGGTGTGAGGTCTCCGAGGACGGGTCTCAGCGTGTTGTTCTTCAGATCTGATTCTCTTCTCCATCGTCGGCGTGTTGGAGGTGTGGCATCTTCCTTCGTTGTCTCTTGGTTAGATCCCGTCGGTGGCATTTGCTCAAGGCGGTGGCTTTTTCTGGTTAATCTGAGCGTGCTTCTCTTGGTGGAAGCTTGTGAGACTCTCTGCGTCGTTTCTTTGTTCAAAGCTCTGTTTCGATGCGGTGTTGGCTCGGTTTTCTTCAAGTCTTTGCTTCCAGTGGCTCCTTGTATCATCGCTGATGGGTTTGCTTTGCCTGTTTCTCTCGGTTTGGTGTAAGTGTTTCCCTGGTGTTGTTTGATTGAGATTACTTGGAGTAATGTTTTGTGTCTTGTCTTTCTTACTTTCGGAAGAGCTAGTAAGGCTGATGAGTTTAGAGGTTGTTCGGTTCTGTGCTGCCGACATCGGGGAAGTATCTTGGCAGAGTGAGCGAGCGTTTCTGATTCTGATAGTTAGTGTAGTCCTGTCTTTATACCGGATCTTTGTTCGTTAGTTGAGCGTCGAACCGTAGATTGAGGGCTGTCTCTGTTCGGGCCTCCACCGACTTCTTAGAGGAAAGGTTTTTCTCAGGCTACTGGATGAAAGAGCTTCCGATTTGCGAGATATGCGTTTCCCAATCTTTTCTCCAGTGATTTTATATCTGACCTTATCTTGGTCTCATCTTTCCTTCGGGTTTTCAGGCTCCTTATCGCTACTTGATTCCTGTTGCTCTTGAGCTTCGGTGTCGGAAAAGTACCGATTGAATTTGCTTCCATGTTTTTTATTCTTTTTTTGCCATGGGACCAAGAATTTTAGGTCGATCGATTGTTAACTCAATTTGTAACACCTAACATTTCATTTTAATGAATATTTACAATTTAGTCAAAAAAAAAAATATTATGAGAGAAAAAAAGAGAAAATAACAATCTACCCAAGCTCGAAATCATAAATATAATAATGGAGGGAAAAAAATCAAGAGACCGATAATGCCACTCATGTCATTTCACCAATCATAAACATTAGAAAATGCTAGTATAATTTCCTGGGTGGTGCAATTATTTTATCCTTAGAATCTAACCATTTAGAAGAAAAAAAGCTAAAAGAGTAATAAAAATGGATGACTCCAAAATTCATCTTTGTTTTTCGACTTCTTCTTTTCAAACTTTAGCTATTACATACTCGTTTTGCTTACTTTTTATCTATTAAAAATTCAATAATCCTTTACTAAATATTTTATTTTTCTTTCACAAACTTCAAATTACACCCTTGGGAATGGCATGGCATGGCAAACCGTAAACCTCACGTATTTAGGAGGAGTGATTTACACTAAAAGGCACTTTTACAACTTCTTCTTACAAAAAAAGACACTTTCAGCTATTAGGGTACTTTTTCTATACTTTAAACACTGTTCACACCAAAATAATCCAAAATTGGCCTTGTGTTAACGAGAACGGTGGATGCAACTCGTGGATACCGAATTAAACCCCAAATTTTAAAAACATTAATTATTTTCCCCTTGAGTTTTGTGCTGTATTTTTTTGTAGTGTAGAAGATATAAAACAATTTTTTTTGTTAGATTGAATTCTAATTTTATTTTGTCATTGTTTTAAGACCCATTATGTCATACTTTCCTTATCAAACAAGAAAATTTTCAAATAACCTTTATAAAAAAAAATTAAAACAACAGAAATCTATTTAGATATCCATTCACTAAATACGATGTGGATGATGCATGATGGACATATAACATGGATACGATTGCGTGGATATATTTTCAATCATATTTTTGACGTATATATACATTTTATATTGTCCACATTATGGACATGATCGTGTGGATATGTTTTTTATTGATAGATTCGATATGGATATACATATTATATTATCAATAACCTATCTACATGATCATGTCCAAATTATAGACAATATAAAATATATATCCACGTCGAATAAATGAATGAAAACCTATCCACATAATTGTGTCCAAGTTATATGTCCATCACGCATTATACACATCGTATTTTGTGAATGGATATCTAAGTAGATTTCTAATTTTTTAAAAGTTTTTATAAAGGTTATTTGAAAAGTTTCTTGTTTGATAAATAAAGTATAGCATAATGGATCTTAAAACAATGACAAAATAAAATTAGAATTCATTTTAACAAAAAAAAATATTTTAAATATTTCACAATACAGAAAAATACAAAATAAAACAAAAGGGGAAAATAATTACTAGTTTTAAAATCTGGGTTTAATTCGGTATCCACAAGTTCATATCTACCATTATCGTGAACACAAGGACAATTTCGGAATGAAAAATAGAAAAGTCACTTAATAGCTAAAAGTGCCTTATAGTGTAATATGAGTTTGAAAAGTGCTTTTTACTGTAATTATTTCATTTAATTCGGTATCCATAAGTTCATATCTACCATTATCGTGAACACAAGGACAATTTCGGAATGAAAAATAGAAAAGTCACTTAATAGCTAAAAGTGCCTTATAGTGTAATATGAGTTTGAAAAGTGCTTTTTACTGTAATTATTTCATTTAGGAGCATAATGATTAAACCGAGACGGTTAAAGCTATACCGGAAAATAAACGCAAACTAGAACCCTCTGAGAGATTCAGAAGGTTAGGAACTGTAATTCGCACTATCACATCAGACTCAGAGCAGCATCATCTCTTTCCCAGCTTCTCTCGCTGCTTCTTCGAATTGAAGCATCCACCCAGAGAAGAAAAAGATAAAGAAACACCCTAATTTCTGACATGTGCTCATTTTCGATTAGAAAGTCACCAAATTCATCATTCATCTTCCCAAAATTCGCTCCTTTACTTGTAAGGCATTGTTTGACTCTCCCATCACTCGTTCCCATTCTCAAACCGCCGAGATTCCGCGTCGTCGCTTCTCTCTCCGGTACCTCATGGGTCTCTCAAGCTTCCAAAGAAAAATATGGTGGTTGGGCTCTTATTGAAGATGAAGCTCCTCTTCCTCATTGGAAAAGTAAAAAAAGTTAGTGTCTTTCTCGTTTTCCTCATGATGGGTTCTTCTAATTTAGTGAGGAATCGAAGAATTTCTCACCTTCGTGTTGCAATTTGATTTCAAATTTTAAATTTTTTGTTTTTCCTGGGTTTAGAGTGGCGGAATGTTGTAATCACTGGTGTTGGATCGTCACTAAGCTCTAGACCAATCGTATCCGCAGCTTCCTCGACAATCGACGCTGCTACCGTCTCTCCTCCGCAATCTCAGATTCTCAGCACTCGACGCTCTCTCCTCTCCGGCGAAACCACAGCTTCTGAGATCGCAAAATCCTACCTCTCCCGTATCCGTCTCACCGAACCGCAGCTCAAATGCTTCCTTCACATATCGGAGAATGTCCTGAAAGATGCTCAAGAGATCGATGCACGAATCGCCAGAGGTGAGGAGTTAGGTCCTCTCGCCGGAGTTTTCATCGGCGTCAAGGATAACATCTGCACGGAAGGCATGCCTTCTACCGCCGCGTCTCGCATCTTAGAGCATTATCGTCCTCCGTTCGATGCGACGGCGGTGAAGAAGATCAAGGAATTGGGAGGGATTGTAGTTGGGAAGACCAATATGGATGAGTTCGGTATGGGAAGCACAACTGAAGCTTCTGCATTTCAGGTTCGTCTTCTTGATGTAAAACCTGTGATGATCCAGCAATGTTAGAAATTAGAACTCTATTGAGATGATTTTGTATGTTCTTGAAGTTTAATGAATGTGGTGTTCTTGAAGAAACTTGTGATGGTGGTTTAGGGATTTTGATATTCGGTTCGATCTTGGTTAAAGGTAACTGCGAATCCATGGGACTTGACCCGTGTACCGGGAGGTTCGTCAGGAGGTTCAGCAGCAGCTGTTGCAGCAAGACAATGTATGGTGTCTCTTGGTAGTGATACTGGTGGAAGTGTGAGACAGCCAGCTTCGTTCTGTGGTGTTGTTGGTCTTAAACCAACTTACGGGCGTGTCTCTAGGTTTGGACTTATGGCCTATGCATCTTCGTTGGATGTGATCGGTTGCTTTGGCTCTACGGTTGCTGATGCTGGGATGCTTCTTCATGCTATTTCCGGGTATGACAGGTTCGACTCCACGAGTAGCAAACAAGTAAGGAATCGTGCGCTTTGGTGTCCTGCATCGAGAAAGATGTTTTTCCTTTTAACAAATAGCTGTCTTTTGCTTTTGTTCAGGATGTGCCTGAGTTCCAATCACAGTTTCTTTCTGTGGATTCTTTTGAATCTAAACCATTGAAGGGAGTGAAAGTTGGTCTGATTCGTGAGACACTTGAAGAAGGTGTTGATTGTGGGGTGAGATCTGCAACTCAGGAAGCTGCGTCTCACTTAGAAGCATTGGGTTGTTTAGTGACAGAGGTTTTTTCCCCAATCTCCTTTGTCTCTGTTGTCTTTTCTTGGTTTTGTATGTTCTTTATTTTACATTTTTACAGGTGTCACTTCCTTCATTCTCTCTGGGACTACCAGCCTACTATGTGATTGCCTCGTCTGAATCATCTTCGAATTTATCACGTTATGATGGTGTCAGGTAAACACGTTACTGTAACTTGAGTCAAATTTTGAATTGCATCAGGCATATATAACACATGTTCTATACATGAAAAGACTGATTCTTGTGTTGGAAATGAAGATATGGGAATCAAGTTATGGCTGAAGAGCTCAATAAGCTGTATGAATGTTCCCGTGGAGAAGGATTTGGCGGAGAGGTACACGATTCCATAAACGAAATTTCCAATTTTACTCCATCAAATTTTGCTATATTCAAATACAAATTTTGGTTTTTTAGGTGAAAATGAGAATCTTAATGGGAACATATGCACTCTCTGCTGGTTACTACGATGCATACTACAAGCGAGCTCAACAGGTAATCACACGCATCTTCAGATTCAGTCGATAGAGAATTTGACTGGTTTTTTAAACGATGAATATGTGTTTGTTTGTTTATTGTTGTATAGGTGAGAACAATAATTCGAAAAGACTTCAAAGCCGCTTTGGATCAGAACGATATTCTTATCTCTCCAGCAGCTCCATCTGCTGCATACAAGATTGGTGAAAAGAAAGATGATCCATTGGCAATGTATGCTGGAGACATTATGACGGTATAAATGCTTCAAAGTTTTTTCCTTTCTTTAACTGGTTTTTCATTTACACAAAACAGAGTAATGTTCAAAATGAGATTGTTGCAGGTCAATGTGAATCTCGCGGGGCTTCCTGCGATTGTATTACCATGTGGACTAGTCGAAGGAGGTCCCTCGGGTCTACCTGTTGGTCTTCAAATTATCGGTGCAGCCTTTGATGAGGTTTGTTATAGAAACTCTTTGCTTTAATCTAAAGATTAGATTAAAATAACAAGTTTTCCTTTTTTGTGATTTTGCTTCAAATGATGATTATTGAGTTTTTGTTATTGGTTTTAGGAGAAATTGCTGAAAGTGAGTCACATATTTGAGCAGACTCTCAAAGGTTCAAGCTTTGTTCCTCCATTGTTACCAAATGTTGCCTAAACGTGAAAAGCATGAAGGCTTTTTTTGTGCGTTTACTTCCATGCTTTGTTTAGGTGAAGCGAATTCATTTGTAATTTAACCTTCTATATATCCCATTTTTTACTAATACACATGTAGATGCTCAATATATTAAATCATCTTAGATTTTACGTTCTTGCAATTGCATTCATGCACTTGATGCATACTAATGGGAAAATGAGAAACTTTAGTCCAAATCCAGTTCATGAACCTTATAACATATGGATAAATAGATAACCATTTATATCTAGGGCCAACAGTCTTGGAACTTTTCCCTCAAGTCTTTGTTCTCGGGTATAACATATGGATAAATAGATAACCATTTATATCTAGGGCCATCAGTCTTGGAACTTTTCCCTGAAGTCTTTGTTCTCGGGTAAAACATCATCACCAACCCCAATTTGATCGATTTTTGAATTATATTGCTCCTAGTTTCACCAGGTAAGGGAGGTCTTGAGGAAGGCACATTGGTAGTTTTACCACTAGATGATCTTGGAGGTGGGCGTGGAACTCTAGGAGGTCGTTTCTCAATGTCTACAAGCTTCGTTTTGGTCACGGCTTGAGCGTTTTCGCTGGCTTTACTGTCGCTATCATCTATATTAGTATTTGCGAAGTGAATTTGTCTGTGGTTTAACGCACAATTTTTTGTGTCGTTTTGATTAATGAAATTCTGATGATTTGATTGGTTGATAATTGCTATAATTTGATTGGTTGAATTAGTTAATTTTAAATCATTAAAATCGATATTAGTTGCCTTAAAAATGGAAAACTTCTTTAATTCAGATAAAAAGAGTTTGGGCCATAATCTCTTCTCTCGAATAACTTGGCCCAAATTTCAAACCCCAAAAAATTATACATACCTTCCAATACGTCGTTTGTGCTGAATGAGATGGTAGCTGTGTTGGTTAAGTGCTTTGTCCATTTATCGAAGGCTCACGGATTCAAATCCTGTGATTAATTTTTTTTTTTGATTTAATTGTTAGAATTTAGTTATAATTCGATTTTTGGAAAATTTTTGTATTTATTAAATATTTTATAAAAGGGAATATTCCATAATTTTTTTGTTATTATCTAGAATGGAATCTTTACATTTTTATTATTTATAACTACGAAATTCATGGGAAGATAATATCGCATATAGATCAATAATTACATTTTAGTATTTTTCACAAGAAAATAAACCCTAGGTTGTTTAGACGTATAAATATGAGCGTTTTCAACCAAACTTCTCATAATTTACGCATTAGTTTTTCTATTAGGGTTCCGTGATTATTTTGCTAGGGTTTTTATAATAGGATTGACTTTTTGGATCTCTTTAGAAAAGATTGAGCATGTTTGTCTATTTGCATGCAAAGCTAACAATGTGTTCGTCTAAGTACAGCTTTGATCATCCATCTAAAGTCATCATCACTTGGGAAGTTCCGTCTACTGATTCTGGTATATATATATCTATTATCAAATTTAATAATAGTATGTATGCTCTCAACTTTTTTAGATGAATTCTAAAAATTTATACGACTATAGGTTTTGATAACCAGGCTTATGCTCACGGGTTAAAGTCTGTGTTGAAATCGCATCGTCAGAATATGGATAACAAAGACATGACTGATTATCGTTACGTGACTCCATACGTTTTCGTGGATATCACCAAAAAAAAAGGTTGTTGAACCTCTTTAGGTTATTCATTCAATTTATAATACTTATTAGTAGTTGTTTGTATTTGTAGGTTATCCATGCAAGCTACTTATCGATTCTACTATCGATGAATGGACCTTGCAGACATATAATCCTGTTATCGAAGGTAGTCCTGTCTATTAATCTTACAGTTTTTACCTTTTGTAATGCTATATCTTAGCCTTTCAGATGCATACCCTTATTATATATTAATCTATGAACGTTTTCAATTTTTATGTAGATATTGATTCTTCGTATCATATATCTATTCTTGATCACGAGCTTTTTATCAAAGGAGGTATTTCTGCTCTTAATGTAATATATTTTTGTTAATGATGTATATTAAGTATTTATGTTTGTTCTAATGTTTGTTTTGTGCATTTAGGTTCTGATCGTGTTAATACGAGTGATCATGCTCAGAAGACTTTTCTATGGGATTTTGCGAGGAATGCGGGTTATGAATAAAGAATCTAATGGTTTCAATTCTTTGTTTTTTATTTTGAACACTGTTTTTTTTTTTAAGAATACTAATTACACCGTCTTTATATATATTTATCTATGCAAAAGATAGTGACTCTGATGATACCGAGGTTTTATCGGGTCGTGGTACTGATGATGATTATGGTTTTGAGGATTATATGGGGTCTGATTCAGAGACGGATGAAGATACTGATGATATGGACCAAACAGATGAATATGATTCTGAGGATGATTTTATTGACGACGATGAGTCTTGTGAAGAATCTGATGGTTCAAGTGATAACTCAGAAGATGATAGCGGTGATGACGAAGATGAAGATGGTGACGATGCCGATTCAACTGATGATAATGAAAATGATGATGAAGATGTTATGTTGGATGATGAGACTGATATTGACGATGATAGTGAAGATCAGTGAAACGTCGAACTGAGTGATATACTCATCGAAAAGAATATTAGTATATCTGGACACCAAGATTCGGTGTGTACATATACAGTTTCTCTTGGTTCAATGTGTTTTGCTGGGTGTGTTTCACGTTTGAGTCCTTCCAAAGATTGTTGTACTATCTTTGTTAAGGTTTTACAAACGTGGGTGCATATGCTAATTTCGAAACGTTCTTCCATGGAGCTCATATTGTCGGATGAACAGGTATTTATTGTACTATTACACAAAAATATTCTAAATTTTTGTCGGTGTCTAATTGATTGTTTTATTCACAGGGTGTAAAGATTCAGGCACTGTTAGTGATGGTGAGATCAGTGTTGCATCGTCTCGCATAGATGTTGGTAGTTGGATTATTATCAGTCGTTTTCTGTTATCGATTATGAGGATAGTTGTAGACCGACTTCTCATAGATACAAAATATTGTTCCTACCATCAACTATCATTGACAAGACTTCACGTAGATGTGAAAATGCCTATTTTGACTTCGTTGGTTTTCAAAGGATATTGGATCGTGCCCATGATGATGACTATTTAGTTGGTGTGTTTATTTTCGATTTAGTTATTGAATTTCGTTATTATTATCTTACTGATGTTAACATTGTTTAATTTTTGTTGGTTATGAAGATTTGATAGGTCGTGTCTTAAATGTAAGTTGATATGGGACGTCCTATGGTTTACTGACTGGGGAGCATTCTTTTCCTTCATATGGCAGTCTATGTAATGATATATGTGATTCCGAGATATGGGGTTCATATTCAACCGTCACGTTCTGTCTTAGAGATAAACGGTACTGTCTGCTGAATGTTTTAAACTGTATAATGTCGTTTTAATTATTCTATCCATCTGAATATGTGTGGCATGTTTTAATTTAGTGGTGTTGATTTAAGTTGTGAATTGTTTGGTGAGATGGCGAAAAACTTTTATGCATCTTGGAGACGCTGTGATCAAGATATTGATTATTTTGGAGGTATTTTTAGTATACTAATTTATATTCTCTATGTTCGTTTCGTTTTATTGTTTTGACTCTGTATTTGTTTTATCAACATAGGCAAGATCACTATATCTTCCACATCTCCTACTAAGTTCGAACTCAATCCCCGTATTCCTGAGTTAGATGAGTTTTTGGAACAGTGAGTTTCTAATACTTAATGTTTGTATTTGACTTTTTAGTATTAATTCGTGGTCGCCTTCTCTCTCTCAAATCTTTTTTATAACAATGCAGATATCCGCGTAAGAGGCCATGCACGCGTGGTAGTGTGGGACGTCTACATTGAATAGTGTTATGACGTTTACATTGAATATCATTTTAAAAAATGATTTACCATGTATACAAATTATAGTTTAATTATTCTTTGTTCTTCAGACCTCTTTATTTTAATCAATAAATATATTTTTTTAATGTAATTATTATTGTTGTTTGATATTGAAGTATAGAAAGCAGAGAAATAATATAAGTTATATATTCACATAAATAACGCATGTTTTTATTGATTTCTTGGACTCCAAGTAACTCATATTTATAAATATTTAAGAGGATTCGAAGATATCCTCGATCATATCACAACTTTTAGTTTTTTCCAGTTAGTGTCTATGAAAATCATGGTGTTTGAATGGATTATTTTATTGATTTCTTGGACTCCAAGTAACTCATATTTATAAATATCTAATAGGATTCGAATATATCCCCGATCATACCACAACTTTTGTTTTTTTTCATTTAGTAGCTATGAAAATCATGGTGTTTGAATGAATTGTTTAATTAATTATTAAAAAGGAAAAACTCGGTAGTTGAGAGGTGTATAAAATGTAAATAAAGGAAAACATTCTAAGAAACCCTAGAAAAAAATAAACAACGCGTATACCACATAATTCTTATATCTCTATATATATGCATATATTTCGGTATAGGTATATATATGCTTCTATCGCGACTTCACGAGTTATCAGTCTGCATTGTTAGAATTGTTTGCATTCGGGTTCTTCGATGGAAGCGTTTGGTAATTAAGTTTTATATTACGTTTTTGAGGACGTCACTAATCGTTATTTTTCTTTACGGTATTCTATTGATTGTTGTTATTGTATATATGATTGTTGTTCTATTGTACATGTCTAGGTGCTCACAGGCGACCACGTGTTAATTGGCAAGTTATGCCGTTTCATCTCCCGGGTGAAAATATTGTGTTTTCTAATAATTTAGATAGACGTGTTGCTGCTAGAAAACCTAAATTCCTTGCTTGGTTTAGGTGTAATCAGTCTTATCCTGAGGCAAGGAATCTTTTATACTCGGAGATTCCTTCTATGTTTGTATGGGATCGTAAAAATAGGACATGGAGGCCAAGACTAAAAGGAAATTCTAGTGCTTGTGTTGTGGACGAATCGCCGACAGAGTACGGAGAAGAGTATTATCTGAGGCTATTATTGGACATAGTTAGGGGTCCACGTAGTTTTGATGATATTAGGACTGTTGGTGGAATCGTTTATCCTTCGTTTAGAAGTGCATACCATGCATTAGGGTTCGTTGGTTGATTATCAGAAGACAGTAATTTTTTACGATATTTTTTTATAGTTTCTTTATCGTGGTATACTTATTTCTTATTTTAACAAAGTAATATATAATAAATGATATTAGAATAATTATATATATCAATTTTGTTATAATAATAAAGTTAAATTATAACATAGTATTATTCCGCTTTTCCGTAATCTTATCGTTGCTTATATTTTATCAAATTAAAATAAAATAAATATATATTTTGAGATATGATACGGCGTATATATAGAGTTGTTTATCATTCTTTTGGTGTTTTGTAAACTGCAAACTTCGGTCGGTGTATTTGTGATGGATAACTCATATCGTTGCTTTCCTTTTACCGAGTTCGAGTATATAATAGATGGATCCTGCGACGTTAACAGTTGTGTGGGTAAGCTGTGTGTATTACGTATGTTTTTGTGATATGACACATATTATGTTTTGTAAGTTATAAATCGCTATAGTGTTGACTTGCCTTTTTATGTTTTTACCGTTAAGATCTAATTGGACGTTATGACTGTTGGAAACTACGTTGATCCACAATATCCTTTTGAAAGCTACATGATGAACGAGATATATATCGAATTGGAGAATCAGAGGTATTGTGTATTATCATACAGTTTATAATTCAGAGCTACTTATTTACAAACAATTTTCCGCTGATTATTTTATTTTATAATTATTAGAGGACGTTGTCTACCATGCCGTTTGGTTGGTAATTTTGGTCGAGATTTTCTCGATGGTTTGACGCATTGTGATGATGATATGATAATATGTATCGTTCTGGCTGCAAAAGTTGATATCATTTGAGGTATTCTAAGGCTGGAATTTATGATACTTTATCGAATATATATATATATATATATATATAACTATATAAAAACTATAAGTGTTTGTTAAGTTATTAATTATTTCGATTTTTTTTTGTGATATTAAGGTAATTGGATGGCTGTAGCGGCTCCTAATTACACACGGATAATGTTGGCACCAGCTATTCCTGAAGTAGTACGTCTCTGGGAGGCATTGGTGTCAACCAATCGATACTGATTTACATTTCACGAATACATAAATCTTGGACTAACAACCTATGCATTTTTTATATCGTGTAAAACTACATTGCAGTTTTTTAGTTTTTTATTTTTCATTTTCTTCTCATATGAATTATCTTATATATCTCTGCGTGTGTGCGCGATTTTTACAATATATTATAGAAAATGTTCATTCTATATTTAGACTAATAATTGTTCTGTCATGCAATATATTATTTAAGAATTGTAAATGTTATATACAGAGGATAAATTATACAAATGATAAACTGTAAAGATATTTTGACTAATCCCATTTTATCTAATTTATTGTTACACTTAATTATTGATATGTATTATCGTTTTTAGTAACTTAAACACATCGTTGAGGAATAATTCCTTAAATTGTTTGTCTAAATCGCTAATAATTTATCTATTAAATATATTTTCTACTTTGTATATACAATTACTGTAATGTTTGCCATTTTTAAAATTGAATTTAATTTCATTATGTTAATTTTCCGTTAAAGTATATCTCAATCGATATTATCTGAGTATTATTTTATTGTTTTATACAGAGAATTAGAAGATTTTATCGTTTTTAACATTTTTAAAATAAAAAAAAAATAGAAGATTTGATCGTCTTTACCTTTTGTTGCGATATATGTATATTCTAAAACAAAAACAATGTATCGTTTTGGTTTTATGACATCTAAACTGGAAAAACCTTTTTGTTCTATTTTAATCAATTAGGAGAGATTGTGTATTGCCATGTATCGCCCGTGGGAATTTGGCTAAGAATCTGTATAGTGTTTATCAGCGCAATCAAAGTGAATCAGTGGTGTTTGTGCTGAGGTTTTGGAAGATGACTAATGGTTAAGGTAGGTTTTTATTCCTTTTTTTAGTATTTTAGAATAGCTAATCTTGCATTCTTCTAATTCGATTCGTAAAATTAATGATAGGTGTTGATAAGAATTCGGTTGTCCTATGCTCTTACCCTTATTGCTCTGATTTCCTGTGTAATCCTGTTGATGACGAGATTGACGATTTCAGGGCTAAGTAAGTCTTAAATTTAATTTTTCTTTATTGACATATTTTGTTAGTTGATTTTTAGATATATTGATCTAACATATCGATTTTTTTTTTGTAGGCGATACCGTTTTAACTAATGCACAATCGATGGAATGTCAATTCCTTATCTTTCTTTTTAATGTTTGTAAAACTATTATATTATGATACTTATTAAATGATATCGGTTGTTTAATCTACTATTTTGGTTTGACTCTATGCATACTGCATTATGTCTTATTTATATTATGAATGTTATGAATGATTATGTCTTATTTATATTATGAATGTTATGAATGATATCGTTACATGTCTTTAGTGTTTAGAATAAATTTGTATATCAATGGTTT